TGCGCATACAACGTAGCAAACTCTGGGTCAGACTGATAGCCCCTGATGAAGTGTCGCTGGAGGTCCTCGTCGAACGCGAAGGCGTGATGCATCATAGCGCAAAGATCAGGTCGTCGCGAAAGTGCATTTGCTGCGCGATTGAAGAGGCCGTCAACGTATTTCAGTGTGAAGTCAAACAGGTCAGTGAAGTACATCCACTGTCCAATCGTGCTGCTCACCGTGTCCTGCATCTTGTAGTAGGTCAATGAGTTATTGTCCGTGACCCATGTGAACCTACGACACCCAAGAAGGAAGTGTCGCCATCGCTTGAGAGCCATGACGAACGCAAGCAGGTCCTTCTTCCTTGCATCATCCAGAGAATTGATGGGAGGCACTTTGTGGATGAAATACTGCACAGGGTGCCAATCCTCGCCGTCGTGCTGCTCCAAGACTGCCCCAACGCCGTAACCAGAAGCGTCAGTCGTCACTCTCGTAGGCAGAGTGGGGTCCTAGATGCTAAGGACGGGTGCCATGAGCATGGCCGTCTTGAGTGCTTGGAATGCCTGTCGCGCGTCGTCATCGAATACGAATGGCACCTTTGGCGATTGTAGTCTCGTCAGAGGTGCGGCAATCCTTGAGTATCCGGTGATGAAACGCTGATAATAGCCTGCCAACCCCATGAATGAACGAACGTCCGTGGTGTTGGTGGGCTCGGGCCATACGCGGATGGCCTCGATCTTATCCGCAAGCGGACGGATGCCTTGCGGCGTCACATAGTGTCCCGAGGACTCCAGCTCTTTACCGCGAATTCGCATTTATCGCGGTTGGCTTTGTACTTGGCCTGTCGTAGCCGTTCCAGAACGGTGCGTAGGTGCTCCACATGCTCGTCCAAACTCCGACTGTACACCAAGATGTCGTCGAGGTAGATGAGTACGAAACGATCCCGCATGTGTCGAAACTCCAATGTCATAGCCGCCTGGAATGTGGCTGGGGCATTCGTAAGGCCAAACGGCATGACCAACCATTCGAAATGCCCATATCGCGTTTTAAACGCGGTCTTCTATCAGTTCTCCGGGCGAATCTCAAGTTGGCGATAACCCGACTTGAGGTCCAACTTGGAGAAGAACTTGGCGCCGCCCAGTCGCTCCAGGAGATCGTCGACGCGTGGGAGAGGGCCGGCGTTCTTGACCGTCTGCGCGTTGAGCTTACGATAGTCGATGCACAACCGCAAATCCTTGTTCTTCTTCCGGACGAAGAGAACAGGCGCACCGTATGGCGAAGAGCTAGGTCGAATCCAACCTTTCTCCAGAAGGTCGTCGAGTTGTGCCCGTAGCACACTTAACTCTTTCTCGCTCATTCGGTACATGCAACCACGCGGAGGTACAGCCCCGTCCTCGAGGATGATCTCGTGGCGGATGGGCCGATCCGGTACTACTCCGTGCGGGGCCTCGAACACGTCACTATAAGTGGCGAGAAGCTCGGTGATGCGTGAGTCCGATGATGCGTCCGTCAATGGGGTGTCCTGGGGCGGAAGGGCGTGGAGAAAACACACCTCCATCTCCTCAATGTCATCCTTAATGATGAAACCTCGAATACTTGCGGCGGACACCATGTGACAGCTGATCGAAGGGTGAGGAGGAGTCACCGTGCATGGGACTAGTACTCCATCCCGGTCACGAACGTGAACGGTGCGGCAGTAGAAGTTCACCGGGTGGTCCTCACTTCGCAGCCATGACATGCCCAAAATCATGTCGAACTTAGTGTCCAGAATGTCGAAGGACACGGCCTCGGGTTCATGCGGGGCGAAATACATAGGGACGTTGTCAATGCACCGGTCAATTGACTTGTGCGTGTGACCATCGGCCAACGTCACGTGTGTCGGATGGGACTTCCTCCTGACGCGTGGGCCAAGGCCGGCGCGTACCATGAAGTCCTGAGTCATGTAGTTGCGAGTTGCACCGCAATCGATCAAGGCGCTGCAGGTCGCCTCTCCGATCTGAATGCGTACATATAACAATGGTGCGTCAATGTCGTCGTACCGTTGTGTCTTGAACTCGCGGTCGATCTTCGCGATGTACTCCTGAAGGTCGACAACCTCTACTCCGGCGTCCATCAACGGAGTTGGTACTGCAGTGTGCAAATACTCCCGCAATTGTGCCATGAGCACATTGTAATGCGGTTTCGACAATCGACC